TTAATTCGGCCAGAGCACGCTCTTCGGCGCCAAATAGTTGCAACTCGATGTCATCAACCACTGTAGAGAGCGAAACCGAGCGAGCACACTGCACACTGCACCCATCGGTTGTGCAAAAGACGGGCTGCAACTTCGCGGTCGCAAACACGCATCCTGGACGCACGCTCTGCTCTCGCAAGATTGGTTCTGAAACAAAGCTACACATGTCAAGGACCCGCGGCTGTCGGTAGAGACCAACGAGGAGGTACATTAAGCGCATGGGGGAACTTGTGCACCTTGCGGTGGCCACCAGGTGATGGCGGCGAATGAGCTCAAAAGCCGTTTGCCGATCAACCAACACAGCCCCCGACGTCAAATTCTGGCCATGAGCCCAGTCAGCCAACGCGGTCAACACCCAGACGCATGCATCCGCGGCCGCGCCACGGGTACCCCAAGAAAAATGTCTGACATTATTGGTTTGCCACACGTGGATCTCGGATTTCCTGAGACGACACAAGAACTCTCGCGAGCGCAGGCAAGAGAGCAAGCGGCCGAAAACCTCCAAGGCGGTTGGTTAGAAAGCATATTTGCACTCAGCCCCTGGGCCATTCCAACCTCAGCTCAATCAAATACAACAACTCGCAGAGGTTGTCGAGCCCCTCAGGGCCCAATACCAAAGAAATCTTGGGGGTCACACAATCGGAGCCTTGGCCCGCGTTGGGCTTGTAGCTTTTGAGCACCATGGTGAGTACGGGAACGGTAGGACGAGGAGGAGGCCCGCGGAGGGCGAGGTTGTGCCATTGGATGGGGGGTGGCGCTCAAAGGCGCACCACCATTTCTCCCATTCAGCACGTCAATTCTCAATCTGTTTTGCCGAACCTAGCGGTACATGACCAATGATAGTGCCATTTGAAGTCCACCAGCCGGCATTTCCGAGAAGCTGAAAAGGGCAGAGGCGTTTTGTTCAGTGCGATATGGTTGCCACCCAAGCTTCCCAACCTTTCTTTTTGGCCCTCTGGTTGGCTCTGACAGCAGCGTCAGCTTGGCTTTGCGAGAGGGTTCTCAGGCACGAGTTTCGCAAAGCTAACCTCTAGTTGGCACTGTCTGGGCACACAGGCTGAGCGACAGTGCCGACTTAGGCGACGTCTGCGCGCGACATCCTCCCAACCGCCCTTGAGGTCCTGGAGGTCCATGGGCGCTTGCTTCTCCGTCTCCTCACCCTCCTCCTCCGTATCCCCCGTTCTCGCCCTCGTCATCATCATCAGCAGCATCATCAGCAGCAGCATCATCACCATCAACAGCATCACCCTAATCATCATCAACATCATCACCATCAACACCATCATCTGTATCTCTACCCTTATTCCTCACGCGTTTATCTCCCGCTTCTACCCCTCCTCCCCCATTCATCTAATCATCTCATGTGTTGGTATGTATCCCCCATTCTTGTTCCTCGGCATCATCCCCTGCCCACGATCACGTCCATATCCTGCTCTCGCATATTATCACGTCCTTCCTCTCTCTCTCTCTCTCTCTTTCTATCTCTCTCTCTCTCTCTCTATTTCTCTCTCTCTCTCTCTTTCTCTCTCTCTCTCTCTCTCTCTCTCTTTCTCTCTCTTCATTGTCTCCGTCAATTATATACGCACCCCTCCTACTCCTCATTCTCCACATTCAGCCCCTCAACTCCTTCGCCTCCTATCCCTCCCCGTCACTACTCCCGTTGCTCCTCAGATAGTATCCCCCTTCCCGTTCACAGCCTCTCTAACCCCTCCTTTCCCAACTCGTTGCAACAATTCTTATGATACCTCCTAATGGTTCTCTTCCTCTGAAACCACCTTCTTCTTGCTGCCCCCCTCCTGGGTGTCCTTATCCTCGTCATCCTTATGGGGCGGCCCGAGTTGCCGATTGGGATCGATCTTGTCATTGGTTTGGTTGCTCAGGCTTGAGGGCCGAGCTGAACTACCTCTTCAGCTCTAGGGTAATAGGTCACATAGATGGCCCATGATGAAAAGGGGACCAGCAAGCCGTTCGCATCGCAGGCTCCACCGCAGTCGCGATCGGCGAACACGCAGATCGCGTCGGAACGGGCCTGTGTGCCCGAAGATTCCCAAGTCACTTATGCATGTTGGGAATAGTGTTGTCTTCGTTGGTGTATCCTCGGGCAGCTTTTGCCCCACCATGAGGGCTGCTGGATACCAGTCACACGCAGAAGAGTTCCAGTAAGCACCCATATGCCAGTTGGCAGTATCCCACCACTTGCGTGAAAACAGTTGCTCAGCAAGGCACAGAGCCGATCGCAGACGTGGCTAAATACCACATGGATCTGTGTTGAAGACACAGTTGGCGAAGTTGGGAGCGCTGATGTTGGCGCCGCCTTCCAACAACGGTGACGAAGTGGACAGCGGCGAAGAGTGCCCTCAGGGTTTGAAGGGAGAAACAAATAAAACAATAATGCATGTGCTTCGCCTGGTATGCACTGCGAATGTAGCGCACGTACTTTGAACGCACAGTGCGACAGAGAGGTTCGCTGGTCAGAGGCTAAGATCGGTGAAATATGACTTACAGTCTGAAGCGCGTTGAGTCAGTCGTCTGAGCTCCCCCGTGGGGATGGGTGCATCCATGGCTACCCGCAGCCCAGGAAGAGGAGGGAGAAACGAGATGATGATGTTGATGATGATGATGATGATGATGATGATGAGAAGGAGGAGGAAGAGGAGGAGGAAAGGGATGCCAATGAGCAATGGGTACGCGAGCGATGCTCCTGATTTTGGATCGGTATTGATGCGCGCGTCGTCTTCCACAAGCATCTTTGTACATCGCCACCGACTAATTTGCAGCTGATCTCATAGTTACTCATGCACGTAGCGGTTGCATGTCATAAAGTCGTCAGCGCATTCGCCGAATTCGTGATTGATGGCATCATCATGGTCGTGCCTCTGGTGCCATTTTGGCTCGAGACCTCGCCGGTTCATGGAAAGGATTGGCTTGATTCCGATGCAGAGTTGCGCAGGCTCGTTCGCGTTTGTTTTCGTCAGCAGTTCCAATGCTTCGAGCCTCGCCGCGATTCGCACTCCTCGCTCTTGCTGGCGGGCTGTACACGGATTGCGACCAGCCGGCTGAGGTTTGGGAGTACGTGCGGTACTTGGACCAGGAGATTGGAAATGTCAGCATGCTGCCAAGGCGGGCGCGCGAAGACTTGTACAGCCTCTACCAGCCTTTGGCCTCTGGACGGGCAGCGCGCAGCCGAAGCGCCGTGAACTGCTTGTCGGGGACGGTGGCCCTGATGCTCCATTCCTTGCCCTTTATCGACCGAGACCAGGGTGAGTGGGCTGCTCGTCAAGTCTACCTGGAAGCCAGGGCCTTGATATCGGAGCACCTAAGTGACCAGTGGCGGCTTGCCCAATGGAAGACCGACCTCGACAATCACGCGGCCGCTCCGAAGCTTCTTGGACTGGAGCATCTGGTGGATGCAGTTTCCTGTGCAATCCCAGGTTCACCTCGCATTTTCGTTTACGACACCGGTAAGTATTCTGCACCCATTCTCGAGTGTTCTGCAGGCATGGAGGGGGTTGAAGTACTCGTGCATCGATTCCTGCTAGAAAGTGCGTGCCGCACCTTAGACGCATCGCAGGCGGATTTCTTCTATGTGCCAATTTATCGTGGACGCCTCCGGCGAGTCATCGCCGCCAACTGCCCTTCTGAAAATGTCTATGTGTCCAAACGTTGGGCCGCAGTTTGGCCAAGCTGTGGACCCTCTGCTCCCCAGACAATTGCGGAAGTAAGTTGGGAAACATGGGAAGACAATTGTCCCTTATCTGTTAGTTTCTGGACTCTTCTTGTGGGGCCTCTGGGACCCTCCGAAGCCATCTTGGGGGTCCCTTATAGACAGCCTTGGTTCGTCTGGGGACCTCTTGGGAACCCATTGTGCATCTCAGGCAGCCTCGTAGGCCGTCTTGCAGGCCTGTCGAAGTCCTCGTGGGTTGTCTTAGCAGCCTCTTGTGAGCCACTTTCGTGTCCTCTTGGTGCCTCCTTGGGGCTGTTGTGGGCCGTCTATAGGTCCTCTTGGGATTCAGGAGGATCCAAGACGGTCCAGCCAGCCCCAAGAAGTTGCAAGAGGCGCACGAGAGGCGCCACAACAGGCCCTAAGAGGCGCGAAGACAGGCCCAAACGGCAGCAAGCGCAAGCGCGCGGCAGGAACGTATGTAGCAGCGCTTCCCGTTGTGCCCGAAATGAGTTCGAATGGTCGTGGCCGTGGAATTTGACATCCATCGTATTTGCGATCAGTCGTGACCTTGGGAGCGAGGTACGTACGTTGCATTCGATGCTTAATCGTTCAGTTGGAAGACGGCACGTTGTTTTCCTCCATGAGTTGTGGCCTTGGGAGCGAATATCTGCTGCATTTGGTTTGCGGAGGAACCGCGAAGCGAAGGTTTTTTGTATGTATTTCGTCGTGAGATTTATGAGTCACAGGATCTTCGAAGTGGTTTTTGTTCAGATCGGCTTGGCAGTAATGAGGTGGAGAGTTACTGAGGTGGCGCAAGCAAGAATAATGCATGGATTTTCATATAGGCATGTTTGAAACGACACCTACCCAAATCCCACGCGTTTTTCACAGCTGGAAGGCCCCACATGGAGCCAGCGGCTTTCACATGTTACCAGAATCTACACATTCCTGCAGGAAGCGAAAGCTCGGAGCTCGATTTACACATGTTCTCCCTGTTGCGATCTCTGGAATTCTTCGATGTTCACCGTCGGAGCCGGCACATTTTTTTGTTCCCGCATGAATTCTGGGACTTCCCGTCTTGGGAGGCACACATAGCTCGATCAGCAATATGGGCTGTAGAAGCCAATCCAATCGTGGCTAACCTTACACATTGCATCGAATGCCTCGACACAACGAAGGACATCGTAGTTCCTGGGCATACTGATCTCTGGGCTGTGATCCGTCTGAGTGAACGAAATCTCCCGACTGAGCGAAGACAATATTTGTTCTGTTACCACGGGTCGTTCGAGCACGAGCTCTACGAACGCACCGTCGCTGGGCCACCGTTCGCGACCTCCAGCGCGGCGGAGACGCGCAGACAGATCCGCAACTTGGCCACGCAGCCAGGTGCAAGCATCGGCGGCCATATCACGCCAGTGGTGGAGTATCGAAGACGCCTACGGCGAATCACCGCCGGCCCCCTGCATCTTGGGGAAGCGTTTCTGTGGCCAACCGTTGGGCACCACTTTGGCCAAGCTATCGGATTCTGTATTCCCTCCAGCCGCTCTGGAAACTCTTCGGGGAACACATGGGGGATGATGAGGTGGAGGATAAAGAGAGGGAGGAGGAGGAGGAGGAGGAGGAGGAGGAGGAGGAGGAGGAGCCTCATGGGACATTTTGGGGGCCTCCTGGGAGCTTCCTGTGGACCTTTTGGATGCCTCTTGGGGGCCTCCTTGGACCTATTGGGTACCGTTGGGGGCTCCTTGGGGGCATCGGTGTCCGTCTCACGGCGTTCGTGGCCCGTGTGACACTGTCGGAAGTTGTCTTGGGTGCCTCTCTAAACCGAGTTGGGGCCCTCTTGGGGCGCTTCAGGGCAGTCTTGGAGGCCATTTTGGGCGTCTTGGTGGCCTCTTGGGCCGTCTTGGGGTCATCTTGGGGCCGTCTTGGAGGCCGCTTGGCCGTCATGGGGTCATCTTGGAGGCCTCTTGGGCCGCCTTGGCCGACTCAAGGCGTTCCTGGCCCGTGTAAGGCAGTCGGAAACCGTCTCGGGGGCCTCTTCGAACCGATGTGGGATTCCCTTGAGGCGCTTCAGGGCCGTCTTGGGGGCCATCTTGGGAGTCATTGAAACATCTTGGGCCATTTTGGGGCAGTATTGGGTGCCTCTTGGGCCATTTTGGAGGCATCTTCGGCGATCTTGGGGTCGTTTTGGGCCGTGTTGGGCCGTCGGACGACCGAAAAGAAGCAAGTACCAAAGTCCCTCAAAAACCGAAGGAGTATCAATGATTTCGGCTTGTGCGGGCCCTTATGTAGGACAGCTTGGAGGCCTCTTGGGCAGTCTTGGCCGACTTGGGGCATTCCTGGCCCGTCTGACGCCGTCGGAAGCCGTCTTGGAGGTCTCTCTGAACCGATTTGGGGCTCGCTTGGGGCGGTTCAGGGCCTTCTTGGAGGCCATCTTGGGCCGTCGTGGGGCCCTCTTGGGGCCGTCCTGATGCCGAAGAACCCAAGTGCCAAAATCCTTCAATCGGAGGTGAGGGGGTGAGATCGAAGTGGAACGGAGAGCCTCCCTACCAGGAAATCGGTTTCGGTTTTGTGTTCGGGCGGGCGAGAAGAAAGTCTCCTCCGACTGAGGCGCGGCCGGACCAAATGTTTCCTCTCCGGGGGCCCGTGGCGCGCGGTGTCCCGCCGGTGTCCCGCCTCCGGCTGAGGCGCGGCCAGACCAAATGTTTCCTCTCCGGGGGCCGGTGGCGCGCGGTGTCCCGCCGGTTTCCCGCCTCCGGCTGAGGCGCGGCCGGACCAAATGTTTCTTCTTGGGAGGCCGGTGGCGCGCGGTGTCCCGCCGGTGTCCCGCCCGTGTCCCGTCGGTGTCCCGATGATGACGATGATGATGAGGAGGAGGAGGAGGAGGAGTAGGAGGAGGAGGATGAGGATGAGGATGATGATGATGATGATGTCGATGATGTTGTTGATGATGATGATGATGATGGCGATGGTGGTGATGATGATGGTGTCCCGATGATGATGATGATGATGATGATGATGATGATGATGATGATGATGATGATGATGATGATGATGATGATGATGATGGTGATGGTGATGGTGATGGTGATGGTGATGTTGACGATGTTGATGCTGAATGATGATGATGGTGATGGTGGTGATGCTGATGGTGTCCCGATGATGATGATGATGATGATGATGATGTTGCTGATGATGATGGTGTCCTGATGATTACGATGATGTTGATGATCCTGATGATGTTGGTGACGATGAGATGATGATAAAGATGATGATGATAATGATGATGGTGTCCGATGATGATGATGATGTTGATGAGGTGGATGATGATAATGCGGTTGATGATGATGGTGATGGTGATGATGGTGTACCGATGATGGTGATGATGTTGATGATGGTGATGACGATGATGGTGTCCCGATGATGATGGTGATGTTGATGATGATGAGGGTGTGGATGAGGTGATCATGATGATTTTGATGATGGTGGCACGATGATGGTGGTGATGATGATGCTGATGTTGATGGGGATGATGATGGTGTCCGGATGTTGATGATGATGGTGATGATGTTGATGGTGACGATGATGATGGTATCCCGATGATGATGATGTTGATGATGATGATGATGCTGCGGGGTGAAGAAGACGGTAAAAGTGGAGTACCCGAACTCTGGAGTAACCCCACAAGGATAGAAATCACACTCGAGCACCTGGACCATCCTGCGGACGGTCGTGGTCAAGAGGATGTAGCCTTTCAGCCATGTCTGTACCCAGAACTGCCATTACCATCTGCACTGCAGCGGTAAGCTTGGTCGCACGTTTAGTCTGGCTCTGGCCGTTAGAGTAGCACACCCACTCCGACTTCGCCAGAACTCTCGGTGCCGTAGACCACCAGTTGAGAGGTAAATCATATCTTCTGGCGATGCCAGCCCTTGCAAAGTGATATGTGGGGCACTCTGCCCAGTAGTGACGGAAATATGGGGAGGCAACGCCGCACTGTCGGCACTCCTTCCCTGAACATCTGCGCGTCTCCGAGGACACCGCTCCAGCACGAAAGATACGTACCAATCGGCGTTCATCCTCTCCGAAACGCTTGAAAAATCTGTTGTGTATCAAGTTCGACTCTGCATCCACATCCACGTCAAGAATCTCCTCAGCGTCGAACCTCTTATCATTGCCCTCTGCCAAGCATGATGTTGCTGATGATGATGATGGTGAGCCGATGATGATGATGATGATGATGATGATGATGATGTTGTTCATGCTGATGATGATGATGAGATGATGATGATGGTGGTGTTCCGGTAATGATGATGGTGTGCCGATGATGATGATGATGATGATGATGATGATGATGATGATGATGATGATGATGATGATGATGGTGACGATGGTGGTGTCCCGATGATGGTGATGATGGTGGCGATGATGATGATGATGTTGATGATGATGGCGATGAGGTGCTGATGATGATGGTGTCCCGGTGATGATGATGATGATGTTGACGACGTTGATCACGATGATGTTAATGATGATGACGTTGATTGTGAGATCGATTGTGATATCGATAGGGAGATCGATAGTGAGACCGAATGCGAGATCGATTGTGAGATCGATCGAGTGAGATCGATCGAGCGAGACAGATTGTGAGATCGATAGTGAGATCGATAGTGAGACCGATCGAGTGAGACGTTGGTTCCTCCCCCCCCGAACCTCCTTATCACCCGAAGGGCGGTCGTATAGGTAAGTGCTTTGGCCATCTTGGGGGCATCTTAGGCCATCTTGAAGCCATCTTTGGCCGTCTGGGAGACATCTTGGGGCCATCTTGGGCTCTCATCTTGGAGGCCATCGTGGCCGTCTTGAAGGCGATCGGGCCAATAGAGTTGGTTTGTTCGGAAAAACTTGGTGGCCAGCGAGTTGGGCCAAGACCCCATTGGGATTTTTGAAAGAACGGGAAATTTGCCAGACATTCGGCACGCCGTGCACCCTTGTGACAAGCCACTTCCGGTCAAGTGGTCTTCGGCCCATCCCGCCACCACGCCTTGATTGTATGTCATAGGCCTCTTTGACGCCTGTGGGCATATCATGGGAGGCCTCTCGGGAAGAGGCGCCTGGACCTCGGGGATGTGGACCCCTCAGAAAAAAATCAGGACAGAGGGCGGAGGACTCGAAGGACTTGAGGACACTCCAACTCGTGCCTCATGGCACGGCGGTGGATTACAAGCGCATGGGAGAGTGCAGCTTCTGCTTTGTACCGAAGGGCGTCGGTTTCACGAACGGGAGGCTCTTCGAGTCGTTCTGGTCGGGCTGCATTCCTGTGATCCTGTCTGACGCCATGGTTGTTCCTTTCCAGCACTTCTTGAACTGGTCCGAGTTCAGCATAAAGATGCCGATGGGCGACGTGGCCGCCGTTGTGGCCAGGCTGCGGACTATCCCTCCGGATCAGATTGTGCGCATGAAGAAGTCCTTGGAGGCAAACGCGTGTTGGTTCAATTTCTACTCTGCTGACACCAGATGCTCGCCGTACGAGGGCGTCATGAGGAGCATCACGACGTCGGCGACGCGGGGTCGAGCGCAGAGACGCCCCCGTTTCTGGCCGCCCTGATCGGCGAAGGTTGTCGGCATCGCGGCCACTGGACGCACATGCTCCACGAAATGTCGGACATCCTCTAGGAGGCGACGTCTTCTGAAGCTCGCACCACGCTGGCACGGACGATGGCCGCGTGAGCTGCCAGCGCGGGTGCAGATGTTCTCGCACCTTGGGCACATGGGAGTCGCTGAATTGACTTATCGGGCGACGACGGCCATGGCTCCACGAGTGCACAATCTGAAGGAGAAAAATCAGAGGGAGGAGGAGGACTGGCAAGGCAGGCGGTAATCATTTACACCACCCGCCTTCCCGTCGTTTAGCCCACTTCCTTCCCAGAACAAGGAAGAGAGTGACAGAGGGAGAAAGGGAGAAAGGTAGATGTATAGAACAGATGAAGATTAAGAGACAGAGAGAGAGGGATGGGGAGAAAGAGAGAGAGAGAGAGAGAGAGAACGAGTATGGTGTACACGTGTGTGCGTGTTATGCGCGTACAGCTGGAGGAGCACGCCCAGGAGCATCACGACAGAACGGGCCAAGACATTGTGTCCAAATTCTGCAGGATCGAAAAATCAAGATGCTCGTAAACAACTTGTATGGTACGTACAATCATGTTCTGTATTATGCTTACATATACGAGTCACTATATACATCTGTACATACATATAAATATATATATATATAGAGAGAGAGAGAGAGAGAAAAAAAAAAATGTAACAGGAGATGCTATATTGAATAAAAAAGAACTGCTTACAGTATGGGGAGAACATGCTCAGGAGGGCGGCCGAATAGCCCGCGAGAGCCCCAAGAGCCCCCAGACAACGCCCGAGGACGACCCAAACAAGACCCCCAAGAGGAGTCCGCACACACAAAGAAACAGTGATTTCCAGTCAAAAGCTACGCTCCCCTCGCCTTTTTTCCTGCGCCGCTGTCGCCGTTGGCGGCGCGTACTATGCTACTGTCGCAGTTAGTTAACCGAAAGGTTCTCGCGAGCGCGCGCCCGGCGTCCCTCCCTCGGCCAGCCAGCCCGAATACACTTAACACAGTAGATTCGCTTAGCGGATATTATCGCCATGGCGGCAAGAAGATCCCTTACCCCGAGGTTCAAGATGGGACCACTACTACACGATATGCAAGCACAAGATGAGCAACAATAACAGTATGACCATAATCACATGCCTACGACTACGAATATCCCCCAATTTGGATGTCACTAGGCAGATTGCTTTGCCAATGCTTGTTGCATGATTTTGGGAATGCTCTGTTCTTCGGTCTTCCGGACGTCCGAGACAGCCCAGGACGCCAGAGAATCCCCCGAAAATTACCCAAGAGAGCTTCCAGGCAGTCCAAGAGAGCCCCAAGTCGGCCCAAAATGGCCCGAAGAGAACACCATGGCGGCCCAAGATGGCCCCCAAGACGCCACCCGAAGCATCCCAAATCGTAGCCCGTTCGTTCTGGGAGACCGTGTTTGGAAGCAGGGAAGCCCGAGGAATGCCCCAGAAGGAACCCAGAAGGCTTCCAGAACGCCCCAAGAAGCCCTTTAAAAAGTTTCGTGAGGCCCCCAAGCAGCTGTCCAAGGAGGAACCTCTTCAAAAAGAGTTGAGGATGGGGATGCATTCGCAGGCTAGGGCGAGAATGCTAAAAAGGAAGAGGAAACATCCGGGAGACAATGACGACATCTAGGTGGCGCGATCCTCCCTGGGCCTTGGCCTACTCCAGTGCGTCGGCAGCAGCAGAGAGGGAGTCGGGGTCGAAGGGGGAGGGGGCGGGGGAAGCGAATAGCCCGGGGGGGCCGCTTGAGGGGAGTTGTACCAGATGGTCCACGCGTGGACCTAATCGTGCCCAGCCGCTCGAAGGGCATCCGCCCAGAAGACCCCGATGGTGGCCAGGCGGTCGCTGGCAGTGTCGAGGCGCCGACGGACTGCCTGCCAGTCGAGCGTCCATCCCTCTGGATAAGCGGGCGCAACCCCTGTGTACATCTGCTTTGCAACTGGGAATCTCCTGTATCTGCCGGTGCCCGCCCCGCACCGCACGGCGGCCAAGTTGTCCCCGGCCACGCGCACGCACGAGGGGACTCTTCAGGGCTAAGGCGTTCAGCCCAGCCCGGCATCCAGCTGCTTCAGCCACCTGCGCATTGTCGATGGCTGGCATCGCAACATTACACGAGGCGATGCGAACCAGCGGTGCACCGGACGTAATGTGCTGCCACAGCGTTGCTCAAGCCCCGGCCACCCTGGCGTGCCCTAAAGCCCTGGCGCCTCCGTCAAAGGTGACCTCGAGCGGCCACTGCGCGCGATCCTGGTCCTGGAAGGGAGAGCAGGGGACACTGACCTCCGTTCGGGCCTCGATGGCGGAGGAGGAAAGAAGCGTCTGCCGTTGCTGGCGGCAGGTCTGGCAGAATTAGCACTCACACCTAGCGTTCGGCCGGTCATTGGCGGCACGGGCGCAGGGGGTCCACCTCCGCCCCGCAAGGAGACATCCCCCAGACTGTGCTTCGCACCGAAGGTGCATGAGCGCAGTGTTGGCCGGGACGCTTTGGGTGGTTACAGGGAGCCGGCGCAGCTCACCTGGTAGAATTGGGAAGATCCAGCCGGCAGGCCGGAGGGTAGGAAAAAGCAGCAGTCCGTGCAGGGCTCGTCACAGTGCGTCAAGGCTTCATTTGGGTGAGGGCTGGTGTCTGGGATGCCTTCTGTGCCAGGTTCATCCGCGGGCTGGTCACTTGCGCACGGTCGGATACGATGGTGGCGCGGACAGGTTAGCAGCTGCGTCTGGGTCGAGCGGAGGATGGTTGAGAGCGACGGCACAGTGGTAGGCAACCTGGTGCAGGGTGTCGGCAAGTACCTTCGAACGGTCTCCCGGATAGAGAATGGCCCTGACAATCGTGAGCGGCGCGTTGTCTGGCCGCACCAGGTGCCATGTCAGTGCCACCGCTACGCACCAGTCTCAGAGGCATTCGGCACTGGCTTCTCCCTGCCCCCAGAGGGGGCAGCAGCCGCGGGGGCTCGGTGCCGGCGTGGGCGCGGGGTGAAGGGGCGGGATGTCATTTCTAAGGAGTCGCCAGGTGGCGGCCAGCCGTTGGAGGATGCAGTCAGTCTCGAGCGTTGCCCATTTGGCGACCATGGCCTCCCGGGCCTGGCCTGGCGCGCATCTGCCGGCAGCGTGCCAGACGGATTTGCCGGGGGAGGTGCATGAGGAGCACTAGAGCGCGAGGCGATCCTGGTCAGACCTCCATTGCGCCCTGCCCAGGGGATCGTTGGCCAGGATCTTTAGGACGTAGAAGGCAGCAGTGAAGTTCGAGGCACGCGCGAGCAGGTGCCATTTTTGACCCTCGCCGGGCGCCCACGGTCGTCTAATGCCGGCGCTGCGCATCCATTGGCGATAGTCGCTCAAGTGCTGCATGGCCCAGATACCGACGTATATGGCTCTGCCGAGTAGGTCTGGTCTGGGAGGGCGCTGCTGGGCGGTCTGCTGCCGCATGATCCAGGCCGCCTTCTCCAGGGCAAGGACGGTCGAGCGTGGGCGTCTGAAGGGATCGCGGGCCAGTTGGGAGTGGGCCCACTGCTCGGCCTTGCGCCAGTGCCAGACGGCCATGGTCTGGGCCGGGAGGGGGCCGCAGACGTCCTGACGCTCGTGAGCCAGAGCAGCGACGGTTCGGGCCGCGGAGAGAGGGCACTTGGGGCACCCAGGGATCTGGCGACGGTTGTGGTCAATGGTGAAATCAAAACTTTAGTGGCGAAATAGAAATTTTAAAGGTGATTAATTATTTATCTGCATAAAGAAAAATAACAAAAACGACGTAAAAAACACCACGCAGGAAGAAGAAGAAGAAGAAGAGAGAGAGAAACAAAAAAAAAAAAAAAAAAAAAAAAAAAAAAAAAAAAAAAAAAAAAAAAAAAAAAAAAAAAAAAAAAAAAAAAAAAAAAAAAAAAAAAAAAAACGTATAACACTGCGCAGAAAGAAAAAATAAATATACTACGTAAAAACATTAGGGCAACACACACACACACACACACACACACACACACACACACACACACACACAGACTACGGAGAAGCATTACGTACGTGAGTACGTCACATCCACACAGTACGTGTGTGACCAGGGAGGTCTCGTGAGCGGGCGCTCCAGCGGCTGGCGCGGCCCTGCGAGGTCCGGACGACGAGGGCATTCTGCGCAGTGTTTTTACGTAGCGTTTTCAGGGGCGCCCCGAGACGGCAACGCTGCGACGCGGGAACAACACGCCCGAAACCCCACGCAGCAGCATGCCGCGTCGCCCGCGTCTCTCGTCACCGTTGGCCGAGGCCGCGGGGAGTTGCGGATTCGGGCGGAACTGGCGCGAGACGCGGGCGACGAGGGCATTCTGCGTAGTGTTTTTACGTAGTGTTTCCAGGAGCGCCCCGAGCCGGCAAGCAACCACGCAGCAAACAACGACGCCCAAACCCGCGTTGCCCGCGTCTCACGTCACGTTCGCCCAAGGCCACGGGGAGCCGCTGTTTCGAGCGGAATTCGCGCGAGATGCGGGCGACGGGGGCATTCTGTGTAGTATTTTTACGCAGTGCGTGCAGGAGCGCCCCGAGTCGGCGCGCCACCACGCCATCACGCCCGAAACCCCACGCGGCAGCATGCCGCGTCGCCCGCGCATGGTGGTCTTACTTCTCCAAGTTGCACTTGAAGAAGCCGAGGCTCTCGCCGGAGGTAGCGGCTCGAGCGGGCACGGAGTACGTCTGGCAGGCCACCTGGCATTTCGGCATGGGCGCGGCGCACGAGCGCGGGCACGAGCCGTCGCAGCAGCCGCCGGAATAGGGCC